TAATAAATAACTCTCAGGAAACAGCTGCCAAAACATCTGCAGGTAGTCTGGCCTGAGATCTGGCTCAAATAATGAGAGCATAACCTGCTCAGAAAATATGACTGCAAGTAAATACAAGTCAGTGAAAATAACTATGGTGAAATCATTAAGAGGAAACAGATTTATATCATTCGTTTGGAGGTTTTTTAGACAAATGGGGGTTTATGATGTTTGTGATGAATGTTTATGACAATTTATTCTCACTCCCATCTCATGAAATACTTGTTTTGGGTCTATTCGTCACAGTATGAGGCCCTCTAGTGTCAGTTTTGGACGGTGTGTCAGACTCGTTTTAGGCATAGTGATTTTTAAAAATAAACGTCAGACACAGTTTAAATTCATTTTTAGGATTATATACACTGCAGTACTACCTTTTAAGGTCAGAATACTAAGATTCAAGAATACAAAGAGAAAACTCGGAAGTCAGAAAAAGAAAAGTCAAAATCAACGTTTTTCCTGAAAATACAAAATAAAGTACTGACCAAATAGAATTTTTTATTTGTTTGGAGATTTAATCCAGAATTTTGTGATTCAAAAATGTTGGTCCGAATTCAGAAAAGAAAAAGTCAGAATTTTGAAGAAAAAGTCAGAATTTTCTGAAAAAAGTCAGAATTTTGAACAAAAAAGTCAAGAATACAAATAGAAAACTAAAAAACAATAAAATCTAAATCAACGTTTTTCCTGAAAATCCAAAAATAGAAAATAGTTCTGAGATTTAAGCCAGAATTCAGCTGGTCCGACTTCTGAAATAAAGTCAGAATAAAAAAAAAAGAAGTCAGATTTTGGAAAAAAAGTCAGATTTTGGTAAAAAAAGTCAGATTTTGGAGGATTATAAATGTTGTCAGAATTCTGAGATTAAAGACAGAATTAACTTTTGGTCAGATCTCAAGAAGATTCACATGTGGCCATAATCCTACATCAACTTAAGTTCTTAAGAATGAAGTGTTTTGTTGCAAAGTAAAACACTCAGATGATGCACAAAGCTTTTCAACCACAAATGTGTTTAATTAGACGATAAACACAATTATTATTTTCAGCATTTTCTGATTTGTTTGTACAGAGCTGTAGAGTTTGTGTATTAAAAAACAAAAAAGGGTTTAAGTGCGCTTAAGAGAGGTTACTCACTCAATGAATAAAAGACGACCCTCAGATCTCCTCCTCGTGTTTATCTGCAGGGTGAATAATATACAGCATCATCTCATGTGGAAACACCACTGTAAAAATAAAGAAAAAGCAATATGTGTTAGGAGACTGAAATGACTGCTGTGTTTCACTTTGACGACCCTGCTTCTTCTTCACAGTACATGTATCTTCTGTGTATCATTTACTGGAAACTACAACTGGACAGAGTCATCTAATACTTTACATCATCTCTGTTACACTGTCCTTAAAACAGGAAGTTACCATAACTATTTTTAATCATTTTAGTAAAAATTGCTGTAAATGTCTGTATATAGGATTAATAAAAAATTAAACATTTGTTCTTCTTTTTGACATTTTATGGTACGTTGTTCTTTTGATGTTTACAGTTCATGCCCAATTATTATGAACATCTTTGTTCACACGTTGATACATCTGTCCAGCCCTGCATACAGTATATATATATTTTATTCAGGATTTCTTAAGATAATTGAAATCAGAAAATACAGACAATAAACCAGACAATACAAATAATGAGACGTTTCTTTCTAATAAATACATCTTTGAATATTGTTTTGTCTATTAAAATCAATGTTGCAATATTTATAGATATCTGACTGAAGTAAAAGTGCACATATACTACAGTATAAAGATAACGTAACATGTAAAGTAAAATTCTGATTCAAATCAACGTAGTGTAAGCTTTCTATTAAATATAATGAATTATATTTTGAAAGAAGCATAACATGGAATTACTCAAAATGCAATTACTTTGAATGCAAAAATGGCAATTTCAGCGTCTCTTTAATGAAGATTTCCTGCATTTCTCTGTTTCATATCAAGTTAAACTGAATATCTTATGTGTCGGGCTGACAAAATAAGACATTTAAAGACTTAACATTAAACTTTGAAAAACTGGGTTTGAAATTGTCCAGTTTCTTTTTGAGATTTTATAGAACAAACGATTAACAGATTAACCTTAGAAAATAATTGGCATCGTAATTAATGCTTTCTGAGCCGTGGAGTACTCGAGAGATACGTGAAGAGTGTTTGAGATGCACGGTTTTGAAAGAGAAGAAAAGGACAGGAAACAGAAAAAGGAGAGAACCCCAAAAGGTGGAAGAAGGAACGATACGAGAGGTCAGAGGAGAGAGAGACTGGGAGCGAAGGAGAAAGAAGAGTTGAAATATTCATTACTAACTGCTCTCAGGCTATTTCTGGTGCTACATTACAGCAACACGGCATACAGCTGTGTGTGTGTGTATGTGTGTGTATGTGTGTGTGTGTGTGTGTGTGTGTGTGCGTGTGTGTGTTGTGTTTTATGCAGCTCTTCCCTGCAGCTACCTCTCTGTTCTTCTATTAAAAAGATTGTGTCTGATTGAATTCCTCTCTGGTGACTCTCTATTTTCTTTCCCTGTCTTTCTCCTCTATTATTACTTCTTAATTTCACTTGCAGACGAGTGAGTGCGTGCGTGCGTGCGTGCGTGCGTGCGTGCGTGCGTGCGTGTATGCGGCTGATTTGTAAATGATAATGGGTTTCTGGGTGATGACTTTTTGCCCTCTATAAAACGGTATTCCCTTTTGCAGTTACAATTTTGATTACATACTAGAAATTCAGTTGATTAGACAAAAAAAGAGAGATGCCACTAGGGGTCTCAAAACTATGAAGGGGCTCTATTCTGCTGATGTTCAGGTGTATATCAGTATGTAGTGTCTCTATTTTAAAGAGTCCTCTCCTGCTGATGTTCAGGTGTATATCAGTATGTAGTGTATCTACTTTAAAGAGTCCTCTCCTGCTGATGTTCAGGTGTTTATCAGTATGTAGTGTCTCTACTTTAAAGAGTGCTCTCCTGCTGATGTTCAGGTGTATATCAGTATGTAGTGTCTCTATTTTAAAGAGTCCTCTCCTGCTGATGTTCAAGTGTATATCAGTATGTAGTGTATCTACTTTAAAGAGTGCTCTCCTGCTGATGTTCAGGTGTATATCAGTATGTACTGTCTCTACTTTAAAGAGTCCTCTCCTGCTGATGTTCAGGTGTATATCAGTATGTAGTGTATCTACTTTAAAGAGTCCTCTCCTGCTGATGTTCAGGTGTTTATCAGTATGTAGTGTCTCTACTTTAAAGAGTGCTCTCCTGCTGATGTTCAGGTGTATATCAGTATGTAGTGTCTCTATTTTAAAGAGTCCTCTCCTGCTGATGTTCAAGTGTATATCAGTATGTAGTGTATCTACTTTAAAGAGTGCTCTCCTGCTGATGTTCAGGTGTATATCAGTATGTACTGTCTCTACTTTAAAGAGTCCTCTCCTGCTGATGTTCAGGTGTATATCAGTATGTAGTGTCTCTACTTTAAAGAGTCCTCTCCTGCTGATGTTCAGGATCATATCAGTATGTAGTGTCTCTACTTTAAAGAGTCCTCTCCTACTGATGTTCAGGTGTATATCTATGTAGTGTCTCTACTTTAAAGAGTCCTCTCCTGCTGATGTTCAGGTGTATATCAGTATGTAGTGTATCTACTTTAAAGAGTCCTCTCCTGCTGATGTTCAGGTGTTTATCAGTATGTAGTGTCTCTACTTTAAAGAGTCCTCTCCTGCTGATGTTCAGGTGTATATCATGTAGTGTCTCTACTTTAAAGAGTCCTCTCCTGCTGATGTTCAGGTGTATATCAGTATGTAGTGTCTCTACTTTAAAGAGTCCTCTCCTGCTGATGTTCAGGTGTATATCAGTATGTAGTGTCTCTACTTTAAAGAGTCCTCTCCTGCTGATGTTCAGGTGTATATCAGTATGTAGTGTCTCTACTTTAAAGAGTCCTCTCCTGTTGATGGTCAGGTGTATATCAGTATGTAGTGTCTCTACTTTAAAGAGTCCTCTCCTGCTGATATTCAGGTGTATATCAATATGTAGTGTCTCTACTTTAAAGAGTCCTCTCCTGCTGATGTTCAGGTGTATATCAGTATGTAGTGTCTCTACTTTAAAGAGTCCTCTCCTGCTGATGTTCAGGATCATATCAGTATGTAGTGTCTCTACTTTAAAGAGTCCTCTCCTGCTGATGTTCAGGTGTATATCTATGTAGTGTCTCTACTTTAAAGAGTCCTCTCCTGCTGATGTTCATGTGTATATCAGTATGTAGTGTCTCTACTTTAAAGAGTCCTCTCCTGCTGATGTTCAGGTGTATATCAGTATGTAGTGTCTCTACTTTAAAGAGTCCTCTCCTGCTGATGTTCAGGTGTATATCAGTATGTAGTGTCTCTACTTTAAAGAGTCCTCTCTTGCTGATGTTCAGGTGTATATCAGTATGTAGTGTCTCTACTTTAAAGAGTCCTCTCCTGCTGATGTTCAGGTGTATATCAGTATGTGTCTTTACTTTAAAGAGTCCTCTCCTGCTGATGTTCAGGTGTATATCAGTATGTGTCTTTACTTTAAAGAGTCCTCTCCTGCTGATGTTCAGGTTCATATCAGTATGTAGTGTCTCTACTGGGAAATGTCTCCATGCTTTAATGTTCAAAAAGCTCTTTATTTCTCTCATACTGCCTGTGCTGCAGCACCTCTTTTCACCCTCTGTCTGAAACCAGAGCCCAGTCTGCTCTGATTGGTTAGCTGGCCGGCACTGTTGTGATTGGCCAACCGCTTAGAGATGTCCCGCCCCTTAGCCTATCACGTACAATGTGTTGGAGTGCTAGCCAATAGCACTGTGAGTGTTATATAGTGATGTCACTGTGTTAAGGAAGTAAACAAAGGAGTCTGATGGAGGCGTTTCAGGCAGGGGGGGGAGTGTGTGCGAGAGAAACTCTCTATGGAGGGAACACAGGGATTTTAGACTTTGCAGACCATTTACATGCACTAAAACTTATCCCACAATGACCAAAGTAAGTGGATATGATTAGCCTAGCTTAGCATACACACTGGAAACGAAGGGAAACAGATAGCCTGGTTTCAGGACTCTGCATCAAGTCTAGTGTAGCTCCTGATGTAGGATTATGGCCACATGTGAAACTTAAAGTGGACCTATCATGTTATATTTGAAACATATATTGTAGGGCCATACCTATATAAAACATGTCAGTGACGTTTTTTTTTCAAAATACCAAACAGATCCTGCATTTTAGCCATGCCTCATTTCGCTCCATTTGCTCTATTCCAGCCCTGTTTTTACAAGGGCTGATTCTGTGACGTAGCTTTAATGCAAATGAGCTGCAGCTGACCACGCCCCCCCTGCAGGAGAGGGGTGCTTTGAGATCAGCTGCTGGGCTGTCAGAAGAGGGGGAGGAAAAGAGATCTCCGTTCTCCGTGTTTTATTCTTATATGATTATATAGTCGTTATTCATTTATTTTAAAGCTCAATAAATAACAAAGAAGACCTTTGACCGGCACTTTTCTAATTTTGTCCGGAAGATTTCAACTTTAACGGACATGTTGACCGGCGAAAAACAATTTAACTGAAACTCTGCCCTTGGAAGAGGTGGGTGTTTTTCATCTGCTGGTGGACTACCGGAGAGAATTACAGCGGGAGCAAACGCTTGCCTCAGGGAGGGAGAAAAAGAGCCACCGCGGAGAATAAACAGAAGGGCAACCATGGCAACCATGCGCGGGAAGTCTTCTTCGCTGCTTTTGTGGCAGGAGTACAGCGCCACTTACAGGCCTGGCATATGTACTACAGCGTCTCCAGCGCTTTCGAGCGGTCTCGTGTGAACGGACACGTCTCGTGTGAACAACACTATTCCGGGCTGACGTCAGCTCGGATGGAATCTGTATCTGCTCGTTGTAGCCCCGTTTTTAAAAGATTTGGGTACGGAGGAAAAGAGAGAGGGTTGTATTTGTTGACACATATTCATGTATAAAATATGTACAAAAGTGCATTTTGCATGATAGGTCCACTTTAAATAAGGGCCAATGTTAAGAGAAGGAGCTTCACTCTGCAACACCACACTTGTGTTACAACAGAGTGATGCTCCCATTGCAGTGGACACAAAGTGAACAACAACACCAATAACCTTCCTCCAGGCAGAGTGTGTGTGTTCGTACTGAAAGACAAAATGTTAGAGGAGGAACAGACAAGAGAGGAAAGAGGGAGAAAGACACTCGCTGAAAGAGAGAGAAATAGCTCAAGAGAGAAAACAAAATATATGGATGTAGAGAAAGAGAAGATATTGATTAGTTATGATTCACTTAGACTTAGAGCAATTAGAGAGATTGGGTCAGAGAAGGACAGTTTAAAAAATGTTGGAGGGACAGTCAGAGAAACAGAGAAAGAGAAACGGTCATTGAAGCCAGAGAGGATTAATAGTGACATCATGAACTCTGGTTGCCCCGGGTTTCCTCTCTTTATTCCCTCTCCATCCCTTCGACACTACTTTTGT